GTTCTATTTACACGAAGGCCTTTAAACTCCAATGTAGATCTACATAATTCACGTTTTTCCTGGGCTTTTTCTCTCGTTTTATCAACGAGAAGGATATCATCAGCAAAAAGCATACATCAAGGTACATCCTCCTGTAGATATCCAGTAAGACCATCCATAACTAAAGCAAAAAGATATGGGCTTAAAGCTGATCCCTGATGTAATCCAACAGAATTAGGAAAATATTATATAAATTTATAAAATTTATTTTTTTCCCCACATAGTGGGATTAAGACTTTGTTGTTGTTGTTGTTTTTGATGATGAATGATGAATCTTGTTTTTGAGCCATTAGGATACACTTGTTTTTATTTTACTTTATTATATTTATTAGGACTCGTATGAGCGCTTTTGAAACGTTTTAGACACTTGTCCGTATCCGACATGCTTGTACATTATATACCTTAATTATTAGGTTTGTTGGGATATTATAGATGAGGGTGTAAATAAAACGAGCTAAGCTCTAGTCATGTTTAGCTCGAACTCGACTCGTATGTCAAACTGCCAGCTGGAGCTTGAGTCCAACTCGAATAGTGACCTCGAGCTTCGCTCTCAATGATGACATCAGTCTTGCGAGCTTGAGACAAAATTAAATTATTGTAGGAGCTTACCAGAGAAGACATTTATGACTGAAGAAAAAAATGATTGTCATGGTAGTTCAACGGAGAAGGCATCAGCGTGACCATTGATCGACTATTCGAGCTGAAGAGCCAAGTCCAGATAAGCTTGAACTTGAGCTTGTGGCCTGATAAGCTTGTCTCGTGAGGTCGTTACAAGCCGTGCTTGAGCCGACCCGACTTGCGAGTTTTGTAGGAACTTAATCTTAGAATTATGATAAATTATAGATTTTTTTTTTCTAAGGTTTATCTTTTTTTAGAGCTTCTTTAATGTACCTCTACCTGATAATTTACTATATTATTATTAATAGATTAGAATGATGTACTTGGAGTTATAATAAGATGATTTTTTTTTTTATGAGCGCCAAACTACTAATTTGAATAATATACTAATTGACTAGTAAACATAAAATATATTTCTGACTTTCTTGATATGATTCACGGATAAATTTATATATATCGTAATTATGGCCTGCCACTCATTAAGTTTTTTTAACATTATTATTTCCTTTGAAAGCAAAACCTTAACATATACTTTAATTATTTGCAAAAAACAATTCTTATTTTGCTTCCTGATCGTACTCATAGTAGAATTGTTCCTGCATGATATTTTAATATTATTTTTTGAAGGTAGGCTTTTTTATCACAATGGTATGTTTGTTTTTTTTTTACTTTTTAACCATCGAGCCAGGCCTTTTCTATTCATAAAGTGTATTAGTGTTAGACCTTGGCGCGAAAGGCTCTGATCCATTTTTTCCTAAACCAGATTTGTTGAGCTTTTGTGGCAACTTTCTGTGCATGCTCTGAGGGAGGTTTACAAGCGGACATTTTCGACTGATGTATCCTCTAATCCACTTCCTGCTTCGCTCACAGACGTTTCTTATCTGAATGCTGCTTCACTGCTTCCAGTAACAATGGTAGTTTAACTGATCTATTTCTGTTTGTATTTTTCTATTTACTGCAATCTATAGGGCTGCATTTTCTTTGATTTTTCAGTAGTTCTAATTTTATGTTTATATTTTGACAATTTGAAAAGTTGTTGCATGAAAATAAATGATTGTTTAATGTTGTGAATATCGATTTCAGGGTTCTGTTTCTCTTTATTTCATTTTGTTGTTCTATTATCTAAATTTAATGTTACGTGCAGTGCCAGTAAAGACTATTAAGTTTTTCTTTTTCCTTGTTTTCTACCACTTTTTTAACTGGATCCTTGCACAAGTTTTCCAATTTGAAGGAAATGTGCACAGTATATGCGGGATCTTTTAGTTATTTTCTCCCATCTTCCTTCACTATTTCTGCAGGCTAGGATTGCTCTTGAGAGGAGGAAGTTTCTAAAAGATGCAAATCTTGCCGATCAAAGGCAAACTATGTGGTCAAACTTGGCTAATGAAATGACTGCTGAATTTCGTGAACTATGTGCAGAAGAGGTAGTTATCATTTCTTTCTGAAAGTCAGTGTATGATATCCAGAGACGGAGCCATAATTTTTTTTTTAATCGGTACAGAAATTAACCTTTTAAAAAGCTTTAGAGGGGTACAGATTATATATTTTAGTGAAAAATTCATTTAAAAAAAAATATAAATGTATGATAAATAAAAAAATCCTAAGAATTTATGAGGGGAGGAATCCTCGGCCTTTGGAAGCTGCAATTCTAACATCAAGTTATTTATTATCCAACCATTCTTTCAAGGCATATTTGAAGCAAGAATTAGAAAAGCTGCAAGAGATTAGAAATAAAGCTAAGCTAGAAGGTGAATTGTGGGATGATCGTATCTCAAGTTCTACTGTTCAGAATTCTCTGTTGATTTCTAAAGCCACTCGCTTATGGGAGTCTTTGTTATCTCGCAAGAGTAAGTTCTTTGTGTATATACTCATCTTTTTTAAGTTTATAAAATTGATATATAGAGGCAGCAGCTAAATACAGTGTGGATTAGCATCACTTATCATTGAATTATTTTATTTTAGCGCTTTTGATTTTATATAATACTCAGTTTGAATGTTATCTTCTGAAATTAAAATACATTTCAACTGTTACGGGTTTATATATTTGAATATTAGCACTTGTAACTTAACTAGTTTCCTCGATTTTCTTGCTATGATGGGCATGTTTTCATTAGTAAGGTTTAAATTAGGAAATGATTTTTATCTTAAAATCTACAATTTGATTTAGTTATATGAAGTTTTAGAGATGTAATATACTTCCTCAATTGTTTTTTTATCATACAATAATAACATTAGATTTGGGAAGCTTATACTTACACTTCATACTCTTCAATTAAAAAGTGGCAAATATTTCTTAATCAAAAGTAATTTGAGGAGAGAAGTAAGAAAAGATGCAGCACAATGTAAGGCAAACAAAACAATGGCTTGCATGCTGAGAATTTAACTATGTAAATTGCAGTTTAGCGAACTTGTGTCATTATGTTTGACATTCTTGGCTATATTTAGTTATCTTCTATCAGTCATGGGAAATTATGGTTGATTTGCTAGTTTATAAAAAGAAGGCACGGTTTTGATGTTGTGTATAGTTATGTTGATTTCTAATACAAATCTACATTGAATTACATAAATTCATGCATATATGGGTAAATTTGTAGTATGCAACTCTTAAGTCGATAAAGAACTGTCTTCTTTGATGAAAAATATTACAGTTGTACCAAACAACAGTTTAATGACGCTCAGATAAAACTTTTACATAGAATTTAAGAGTAATGAATACCACATGCAGATTGGTATTTTACACAGCAATTGAAAAGTCCGAATTGGACTATATTTGAAAACACTGATCACTTTAGCAAGCCAATTACTAATTTTAGAGAATAGAAAGAAACGATGGAAAAAAAATCCCAAATAACTAATTCAGGCTTCACACCATACACTGAAGTTCCTTCCAAGAACTAGTTTCCAATCAAACCAGCCTAAATAGATTTCTAACTAGCACACAAGTTTAAGAGGAACTTGGAAATATTATGCATAAACCATTTTCCTACATGCCTCAATGTTCTTAATATATAACCACTATATTCCCTATGAAAAATTAGTATTTTGTTGACAACTTTAGTATCCCAAAACTTCGTTCAAGATATGCATAAAATAAACAAATGATAAGTCATGTAAATTAATTAAAATGACATAAATCACAAAAATCCAATGAAGCACTAAGTTCACAACTATTGAGTTACTAATTCCCATACAAATCTATGGGCTGAATAGAGCTTCATAATTACCATAATTGAGATTCATAAGTAATGAACTGTAAGCAGAGTGATGGAATATTGTGCAAAACCAAAATTATACATACCCAAATCAAATACAATCCCATATAAGCCCGTGAACAAGCATGTATAGAACTGCTCGTGTAAAGGCCCATGTTATTCACAAAGCTCTGAAAACATAGGGCTTCACTAAGAACGCTGAATGAAAAACCAAACTAGATATTGAAGTGCTGATCAATTTAATTCAAAACTAACTTAGGGAACTGATACTGGAGTTAACCTAAACTAATAAAATGACAAATATTATTACTTGAAGCAACTAAGCGGTTACAATCAACACACTAGAAAGGGAAAATACAATAACATGATATCTGTAAATCTGAAATAGCAACAGAAACGACGCGAATAATCAAACTAGGGTGGGATTTCGGGGTGTTGGTGCTGGTCTGGGAGGGTTTGGATCTCTGACGAGATAGCAAGGAGTGGGTGAAGGCTGGAAGGCACGGTGACAGCAAAGGGTGTGGACGGTGGCAGCAAAGGGGAGGAGTTGCGGCATTGGCATCAAGCTGAAAGGAGAGGAATGGATGGTTGGTTGGCTAGAACAGCAAAAACTAGCAGGAAAAGGCTGTTTCCGGGCGGCTACAACGAGGAGGAAGGTCAGAGGAAGTGCGGGGGGATGCGGAGAATTGTAGGACAACAAGGAATGACTGTTTGGTGAGGACAGGTGGTTGGATTGGGGAAACTGCAGGGAAAACAATAAGGTGTGTCTATTTGGGGGTGGTTGCAGCAATGGAGGGTGGTCGGGAGCCATGTGAGGAAGATGTGGAAAGAGATAAGGAGGATAAACACCTCATTGGGAGAGAGACAGCTGAAGCCCCATCCAAACCCTTGGATACAACCCTCGAAGAGAGAAATGGATGTTCGCGGCTGTCTTGATAGAAGTCTGAGCCAAAACTGAATTTCAAATCCTAGTACAACACATATATAAAAAATGTCTAAAAAGGAGTGAGGAAATTATGAAAAAAAACATAAGAAAGGAAAACAGTATGGTGCCTCCCGCGATATATATTTCTGTGGTACCGTAGCAGTTAAAGTATCGCAGAGTTTTTTTTGTCTCTTAAGCTTTCATGTCAATCTCCCAGGATTGAGGGGAGCTTCGACCTCATTTGTCGAAGCTTCTGTCTTCTTATAGTATGGCGTCAGGTCGACCACGTTGAAGGTGGCAGAAACATTGTCTTCCGGTAAGTCAATTCTGTTGGCTTTGACATTGACATTCCAAAGTACATCTTGATAGAATATGTATGCATTTAGTTTTGGCATAATTATAACTAGAACTGTACGTGTATGAGTATCCTCACTAACCACGCCTCGAGCTGTAATTGGTTTTTTTCACTCTTTGTACTTTTTTGAGTGTATCTGATAAATAAGTATGTAAGAAAGAACTTGCTCTGGGATGAAATCTGTGCAGGCTGCACTACTCTCACCAACAAACACTCATGAGAGGCCTCTTCTCCACTATAGGACCTGACTCCCATTGAAAAATTTTCTTTCCCGTCTCAATGCTGAGTTTCATCCCTTTTGTTTAGACATTTAATGATGGGTACAATGCTAAACTGAATCTAACATCTGAATAGCTCTATATAATCTTTCAAAGATGACACAAAAGGGCCGCATTTCTGACGCGTTGAACCTACCTTAGTAGTGGAAACTCAAGAATTATTCTATAGATCTGAATGATCTGTATTTCTCTTATATGTTGTTGCATGCTTATAGTGTCAGTTCTTTGAACTCAAGACTGTCTTAGACACCCTGAAATCGGTTGGAGTCTCATCCACGGGCTTAGCTGGAACTATATGCAACTTTTTCTTCTCAACTAGAAGCTGGTCCTCTTTCGTGTCCTCACCGTCTTCAGTGTCTTACTCAAATTTTCAAGAACACTATGTTTAGTGAAACAGATTTCCCCGTTGTGCAATCTGATTCAATATGCCCAAATCTGTGACACTTGCAACGTTTCATGACTGTGACGTATTTAGGGATGCAGATTGGGCGGGGTTGTATTTGACGTTCTCCTGTGTGTACTCTGGTTGTATGATACTGATGTTGAACTCTGCCTGTAACATTTGTTGGTCGCTCGGTGATGTAGTCTCTCCACTTCTAAAGATAGGGTCTGAACATTCTGTCTATAGTAAGTTGATAGGAATCGGCGTTGTATCTCCAACTTCATCTTCATATTCTCTAGTTCTCATCTTTGACTCTCCATTTCACGGTCGAGGGTAATCTCCCACTGAGTTTCTTTTTCAATATCCACAAGCCTCCGCTGAAGTCAGTTAATCTTTAATTGTATTTCTTTCTGGGTAGGCTTGAACATATATCTTCTTGGCATGATAAGGGTTTAGAGTTGGGAGGTGAATGAGGTTGAAAAAAAGTTCATTTAGGGTTGCTGATTTTGTAAATCAACAAAATGAAATTAGGGCAAGTCTAAGTTTGACTATGTTTTGAAAATAGGAAAGAAAATTTTTGGCGGAGGGGTAAGGTGGATGTTATTGCCGGATTGCAGGACTTGAATGTGAAAAGTGCAGGGTTACGCTAGGTTGTCGACAACCAACATAAAATTTATTGAAAAATCATGACATGAATCTTTACATTCTTGTGTAAATGCTAGGACGTCCCCTAGCAGTGATGCGCTGTATAACCAAAATACAGTGAAAAATGTGCAAGTGCTGCTACACCTGCACTCGGGTGTAGTGTTAAATAAATAAATGTTCTCACATTACAGACATATGTGAGTAAAAAAGTTAGTCTATGAAACTAATATTTGGATAAGATCTTGAAATATAGGTACTCTCACAAATAAATTTAATAAAATTAGTTGATATTATGGTTCATAAGAAGATAAATATCTTATGTGTTTAAGAAACTAAATAGGTTGGAGAAATACTAAAGAGATTGATTGTTTTGGTTTTAAACTATGGTAGTTAAGTATGAGTTGCACTAGAAATGGTGTAGCTGTAATTATAGATGAGTTTGAAAGATAACGTTGCAAAAATTAATAGAATTGGAGATAAAATTATAGCCCTAAAGATTCTTGTTGAAAGTAGAATTTTAATGTTATATATGTTTATGCTCCTCAAGTAGGTTTAATATAAGTCAAAGAAAAAATCTGAAATGTCCTAGAAGAATTAATACAATCGATACCTCTTGAAGAAAAAAATTTTATTGGAGGGGATTTAAATGGACATGTTGGTAGAGTGGTTGAAAATTTTAGAAATATTCATGGTAGCTACGTTTTTGGAGCGATTACTAAAGAAATTAGAACCATATTAAATTTTGCTTTAGTGTATGATTTTGTTATTGCTAATAATTTATTTAAGAAAAAAGATTAGCATATTATTACTTATTAGCATATTATTACTTTAGCATATTATTACTTATAAGAATGGTTCTAAAAAAACACAAATTGATTATTTTTTTTATGAAAAAAAGAGTTCTTTAAAAGTGTAAAGATTGTAAGGTTATTTCAAGTGAAAGTTTTACTAAACATAGATTAATAGTTTTAGATTTTAAGATGAATGATTGTAACATAAATAATACAAGAACATATTGTCATAGGATTCAATGGAAGAATCTAAAAGACA